AGTCAATATTCTGAAAGAAACCATTCACTATTAGCAGATGAATAATGGTTTTAGTTATAATAGCAGACTGCAACATAAATCCCATATCTAAAATGTTTCTGACATTTTTGTAACTTGGATTCACCTTCAAAGCAGCATTAGTTTTCTGGAAGTATATTACTGTATTATACCCATTACTCTACGCATGTGAGTTAATAATATTGTTTTCCATGTGGCTTCAGTTTTGACTTCTTCAAAGGACTGGTGAGAAGAAAATTGGTTTGATGAGTAGATTTCTTGGCAACTTCTATTGAAGACAATAATCGACTTCACCATGTGCATATTTTCTTTTTTTCCCTCTTGTTTTGATACAGTCGATGAGTTCAATCAGTGGGATTTAGATTGGTCACTGAAAGAGATCTGGTCAAACAAAATGAGTTCTCTACCACTCTCTTTTACAATGTCAAACGACTATTTTGATCATATATCACATACCATGTATCTCAAGTGACAAGTCAATTTGAAGATGGTTGGCTCTCTATTGCAGGCTATGATATGTTCCTTACCTGTTGTTTTTCGTTTCAAGCAATAAAATGAAGTTAATTGCAAGATCAATGAATGATTTGTACTCTTAGTGTGGAGAGTATGTGAGAACATGCCTGATTTGGTTGTATTTGCTGTGGTTGATCAATCCCGTATAAGCCTGCTGCCACAGTATCAGGTTGTTGTCATTATTACGCAAATGGGACTTATATTGCCTTTTATCACTGCCAATTGCTAAAATGTGCACCTCTGAAAGATTCTTTTTCCAAAGGAGCCAATGACATTTGGTGTTGGGGCACTTAGTGCAGTCCAACAATCTGACACACACTGGTATGCCATATAATCGTGGGGCGGTTAATGGTCTCTCTCTCTCTGTCATGGAAGGAAAACAAAAAACAAAGCTAGAAAACAAAAGTCTCTCACATGAATAGGCTTTTTCAGGAACAGCATGTTCAACTGATATATCTATGGTGTTGGTCTGGTCACGACCCTCCCTGGCCCCCTTTTTTTTCGTTTGAAAGCTATCATGTTAGGGGTCCATTTAGACAAACATTTGTCTCTATGGTTGTGTTGTTTTTTTCTTTTAAGTTTGGTTGTCTTCAAAAGGCTGCAAAATATGAGGGACATGGAACCCAATTCTCTCTCTCTCACACACACACACACACACAGAGACAGAGAGAGAGAGAGAGAGAGAGAGAGAGAGAGAGAGAGAGAGAGAGAGAGAGAGTTTTTGGGCCTGCTGGCTTCTCTTGCTGGAGTGAATGAGGTTGGCTTAGAGCCTCACTCATTGGATACACGACTTATGGCTAATATTAGTGTTACGTTGTTGTTGTTTGGATCATGTGGGCATAGTATAGCATAGCAAACATGCAACCAAGGAAATACTGTGGGCACTGGCATTGAGCAATTAAAGTTATATGGATATTGCTAGATCCAGAATAACACATCTATCTAATATTACAGCTACTAAGACCATCTCTAACAGTGCTTTCTAAAACAGAGAGCATTTTGTTTTTATAATAAAGAGCATATTGGTATACTATGTCCTTTTTAAGAATAAATTTGACTTCCCTTTTTTTTTTTTTCCCTCCTTTCATTTACCAAACTTGAATCCCATTTCCCTTTATCACATTCCCAACTGTGAGTGTGTGATATTACTGGATGGAATTAATGGAGTATCAATCAACAAGATAAAACAACTGGAAGCAATTAATTTAATATTCGTATCTTCATGTTGTGCTTGTGTAGTTTGATCAGGAAAAAAACTTCTTTGGAGAAATCTCATTCGGTGTTGACGACGACGAAGGGAAGAAGTTGGTTTCGACGTATATAGCATTGAGATATGTTTTATCCTGAATATTTTGGATGAAGAGAACAATATACTTTTTTTTGTTCTAAAAAAAATAGAGTAGAAAGTGATTTTGACTCTCTAAATGTGAAGAGTCAAATTGAACTTTTTATTTTAAAGAGCCTAAATAACGAGTCTATTGGAGATAAAATTTTAAGGGTTGATTTGTTAAAATAAAGAATTAAGTGGCAATAGAGAGCCTATTAGAGATGTTGTAATACTATATCCATCCTTTCAAAGGTTAGCACCATGTATGGGATAGAACCCTTCCTTGCATTTACCATGTGGGTTCGAGTCTCAATCAATGACCTTGCTATGCTACCCAACTTTGTAGGTCAAATTTTACTTTCTAAATGAGTTGGCACCATCATCATAAACAATAAGTTGGACGGAAGAATATTTAATGGTTAAGATTTAAGCGCATCGTTTCAGAAATTAAAGTTGAGCTGAAAATAAGTTTTTTCTTTCTCCTTTGCTATAATAAATTTTTGAAAAAAAAAAGATGGTATTTCAGCCGTGACGTGACGTGACGATGACTTAACATGTGGATGCTACATAATCAAATTGAAAAAAAAAAATTACTTCCTGTATATATAAAATGTTGAAATGGTCATCGTTTGAAGTGTTCATAAAAAATAATGGAGGACCACAAAATGATATCGAATAGTTGACATTGAGGTTGAAATGTTTGTCGACATTGTAGTTTGAAATATCAGCATAATCTCATAAGCGGAGAAAGAGTCAAGAAAATGAATGTATGTGGCTGGTAATTACAACCACCAGGTTCAGCAATGACAGCTTATAGTATCATACACATTTTATAAACCAGTACTTTTCGATCATGCTAAGCTGTCATTGCCAAAGCCGGTGCCTGCTGGTGGTGTTATCAACACTGTGTTTATAACTCTCACTGCTTTCAACGCCATCACGTTTAGAATATTCTGTGCAGGCGCTGCATTGTGCAATGGAAAAACATTACAACTTCAAAGGAGTTCAAGTGATAACAAAATCGAGCTATAAATTCAAGCGTCTTGAATTCGAATTTTAACAACTCTTTGAAGTTAAGCCATGAAAAAAAAAAAAAGAGTTAGGCCATGAAAAATTTTCCCTCGTGAATACCCTTTTGGCATAAATGGCATACTTTTGATTAGATAGGAAAAAAGATTTGTCGGGGTACGTGTAAATTGACACGAACATACCCGACCGTTAAACAAAAAAAAAAACACACAATACCAAATTTTGTATTTAATACCTCTTCGGATTTGAATACCAAAGTTTTTGTTTGGTACCTATTCAGATTGTATTTTAAAGCAATCCAAATAGTTTTTTTTCTGTTTTTTTTTTTTTTTTGGGGGGGAGGGGGAGGGGGCATTTTGTTAGTCCTCAATATCTATTTGGATTGCTTCATTTAAAGGCTTGGTATGGTTGGTGATAAGAAAAAATCATTTTGACCTTGCTAATTGAGAATTCCATCTGTGACTATCATTATTTTATCTATATGTAAATCTCTAATAATTAATTGCCGAGTAATGAGTAGATGGCGCGGTTCAAATATTATCATGGAGTGGAATAAGAACAAAAAATTGTATTCCTCATCAATCAAAGAAACAAATATCAATTGATTTCATAAAACTCAGGGTTAAATTAAACCAACTAAAGTAATATATGACTTAACTATTACATTTGTTTTTCTTTGAATAGTTGTAAGGACTTGATTGTAAGAACCCCTCGACCTATTATTTCGGAAGAGTTAGGACACCACCTTTATCTTAGGGGTTGGTGGTTAATACATAGTTACTATTTAATGGTCTTTTCACCTAGAGTCGCCTTCAAAATTACTGGTTTACAAGAAGGGACACAAATTACAAATGCAAGCCAGCGGAGAAATTGTACTCTATAAGAAAATTTCCACATGGATCACTATCTATTAGTCAAAACACTTTCTAGATAATCACATGGCAAGCACGCATGGTGGACCAATGTGTCTGCTTGTTTTTGTGTGGTGGAGAGGGTGGTGGGAGGAGTAAATATTGGTCCACCGTGTTAGTATTATCACATAATATAATCGTTTAATAATAAATAAGTAATTAAACCCTACTTTTTTTTTGAATATGTGATGGATATTATTTTACCTGAATTGGTGGTTATTTGAAAGAGTGTGATTCATTTTGCCTAATTGTTACGTTATCATTAAATGATTACACCATGTTGTAATATCGGCATGGTGTAATCGTTATATCCAACATTTACTCGGTGGCAGAGATCGAGGGAGAAAATAAAAGAGAATGATATGATGCCAAAAAATAATATAAAAAAATTAATTTTAATTTTCCCTATATTGACTTGATTTATTAGTGAGTGTTAATTGTGGAAAAAAAAATTGAAATGACATGTTTTCATTTTTGTAAATGAAGAACGACATAACATTGAATACACAATAATTAAAGGACCCTGTCCTTCTTTGACTAGATCCTCTGGCTGACTACATTTTCGTTCATTGTCTCATAGTACCTGGTTAGTAGGCTCTCCTTGGCAGTCTGGTGGATCTCCACTTGCTGCGACTAAGCCTGTCATTGGATTTTTATGGGTGATAGGATCTAATAATACAAAATTCTCATCCAAAACAATAGATCAATATTTTGTTATCTCGAGAGAATCGATCTCGTGATAAGGAAAAAAAGTGAGTTTCTTGGAAGTCACCCGAAATGATCCGAATTCTGGTTCTGTTAGAAATTAGAATCTTGGTTTGTAAAAAAAATGGGACATCCAATTTGATATGTAATCGTATTGAAAACTATACTTAGAATTAACCAAGATTGAGAAATAACAAACAAACACTTTTGTGAAGACAATAACATTTGGATGCTTCACATTTGTGCATACCTCGCATTTGGATGTTTAAAACAATAGTCTTATCAATACATTAACATTTCAATCCTTTTAGTTTAAGTTTTGCGTTTTGATCAAGTTCAACTTATTAGAAAATTACATATGACACCTAAAGAAATTCATCAATATCTACGTAGATATATGATAGAATCCAAAGAGATCATCGATATCTATGTCAACATCTACAATCATGCTGCCCACCAATAAGCTTTACCCAGTATTTCAAATCTCCCTGTTGAAGAAGAGGATTGGGGTAGGAGGGGAGGAACAATTGGAGATGCCTCCATTTGATGACAGTGGCACTATGATCATTCCAAAACCTCAAGTTGTTCTAGAAAGGCGGGTCATGAGGGGAGAAGAGGAGATTTTGGTGCATTGGACATCCCCACAGATTCCATGTGGGAGAGAATAGAGGAGTTTGTGACCCAGTATCTCGATTTTTACCCTCAAGGAAAAAAAATAATTTTTAGGGAAAAGTAAGTTGATACGGTTATATCTTTATTGCTTATTTAGTAATTTAGATGACTTTATTCTTTTCTAAAGAAGTTAAGAAATATAATGGAATGCTAACTACTTTGTAAGATTTTTTATTACTAGTAGAATTTATTTAGCTTTCTTTAGCTAAAGTTTAGATATTTCTATTTCAATAGGAGCCTTTGATTATGAATAAAGCATTATGAATTATATCTCTATAAACTAAATTGAAACAAGAAGGTCCGGTTCCCTCGAAAGAACCAGCAGGAGGTCCAGAATTCCTCGAAGCATTCTAACAAAAATAGGTTGACAACGAAAAATCGATCCCTGTGCTCTTCTCATTCATAAACCTATGATGTGCTTTCAATCAAGAACTCCAAACAGTAATCGTTACACCCAATATTTACTCCTTATATTAGAAGGGGATGTTAAAGGGATCGTTGACACTATACACAATAAGCAAAAGCCTTTTTTGAATATGGGTCATTTCTTTGATCAAATATAAGTTTTAGTAGACAGATTATCTAATTTCTTGATTTCCTGGGTCTAAAAATTTGTTAATGACACGACTCATTACTTGGCTAAATTTACTATTAATTGTAATGACTTATGTGTATGTATGGAGGGAGGATGCACCAGATTTCTTGTTATCTTCCCTCTAAGTTAATATTTTAATATGTTTATCAATTGGAATTTTATCTTTTTATATCAAAAAAAATAAATATATTTATCCTTAAAATAATGATTAATAAAATGCGTCACTTTTTAATAGAATCAAAACTATCATAACATCCAAACAAGAAAACAATATGAAATTGTATTGATTAATATTATAACACAAAATTATGAAAGAAATCGAAACATAGTCCATATATATATACTAGTTGTGCATGCAGGATCTTACACAATATAAACACGAGAACAGATCTCTCTCGTGGTGAACTCGAATCAGTCAATCGAATGATCAACCTTGCTGCTTGGTACAGACTATGAGGTTTGGCGGTGGCCTGAAACGGTAATGGGTGACTTTCGTGGATCAATGGAGCGGTCCAGTAAGGCTGAGGGAGGTTCCTAGAACAAAAAAAAATGAGTTAGGAGGGCACCGAAGTATTTTATGGCATATCCCCTCCGACACTCAAGTCAGTTTTTTGAGAGAGGGGAAGGAGAAAACACTGTATTTGTTTGAGAAAAGGTTTTTTGTTGCATACCATCTTGCCTTTTGTGAGGAGTATTTATACCTCAAAAACTCATGATTATTGTCAGTGTGGTCAGTAGGTGATCATTAGATATGGGCAACGTGCAAACTGATTCCTATGAGGAATGTCTTCTCTCTTAACTGCTCGAGACCCCGAGCAACCAAAGCTTCGTCATCGGCCTGCCGAGTGTTTAATGAGCTTCTCTCGGCAAGGATGTAATAAATGGCCAGTCATAGGGATATTTATTACCTTTCACGTCCAAGCCTTCCTGCATTAAATGCTGTCTCATCAAGGGAATGGTGTACTAAATGCTTACTTTCCCAAGTCGTGTGTCAGCAAGGGCATCTCGGTCTTTTTGTCTCTGATCTGACACAATATGCCACGCGCCCATTCCCCATTGGTTATGTCTTCTGCCTTCTTGTGCCTTCTGACACCATTTGTGTAAGACGAGGTCATGATGGCTAACCTAGCCTAGCCTAGGCTAGTGACCTGTACATCAATAGCCTCTACAGGAGTAGAAAATGTCAACCTGGACGGGGTACATCTTGATACCGAGGGAGTGGTACATGTAGGGACCGATGTATCCCATATCCGATTGAGAGATACGTGTCGGTACGTAATGTACTGGGTGTCATTGATCCCTATGAACAGTACCTCGGGGGAAGAGGGACTTATGAACCGACGAGTACGTGTCGTGATCACAGTAACAAGAATATACTGATGCCGAGGACACGTGTTTTCATCTTGGAGTATGTGAAAATGTCCCATCAATTGCCCCCCAGCCTTCGATCTCCTGACACCAAGGACACGAGTCGTAAGGAGACGAAGGATTCTGCAACTACCCCAACTACTTCATCATTGCCTCTAGCCACTTTCCCCTGCTTAGGAGGTCGTGCGCATTAAATGCGCCTCTTCATGCTTCATGCCCAAATGATGGAGATGGGTACTATATAAATGGGCTTCCACTCTCCCTCTCTCATTTTACCATTGTAAACTTCTTCAGAGAGCCCTTGCCTGAAACCTCGCCAGAGATCCCTTTCCTTTCGTTGTCTACTGCCCAATCTTTCACCGGAGTCTCAAGGCCAGCAGACCCATCCTTGCTTCTGAACATCCTAAGGGAAGGAATCACTTCAAGTTTTCAAGAAAAACTTCTGTTTACGTTCTGGTGAGTCTTTGTATCTTCCCTCTTTTCGCCCTTCTGTCTCTTCTTTTCTTCTTCTCACTGTTTTTATTTTCTTTTGATTTTTTGATAACCGGAGGTGTTTCTGGTTGCCATTCTATGACCAACCCTCGGGAAGCCTCCTCGGGGATTTTCGTGGGAAAATCCCTCCCTTCTTCCTCACTTTTAATCATTTTTGGAGATGCCCTGACGTCGCCCTGCCCCTGAGAATCCTCAGGTTAGTTCCTCGAGGTCAGTGAAGTACAAAGTGAAAGGTGGCGAGCAGATTAATAGGTTTAGGGTCCAGTATCGCACCCCCCCATATGTAGACATAGAGGATTATAACTCGGATGTACATTCCCGTACCCTCGGGGCCAAGGATGAGATGCCCTTTTATACCAAAGTCATCATAGAGGGCAGAATTAGGTTCTCTCTGCCCCCTCTACTCCTCCAGTTCCTTTCCCATTTTCACCTCTTCCATGGGCAGTGTTGCCTTAATGTCTTCAGGATAATTATGGGAGTCTTAGAGCTCAACAAGCGTCTCGGGTTAAATGTTGGGCTGAACGATATCCTCTTTTGCTACTCCCTCTTGAGGGTCATGCCTCAACAAAACTTTACCTCAAAGCCAGGGACTCATCCATGTACCTCGTAACTCACCTTCCCGACTCGGACAAGGGATACAAGGATGACCTACTGATCTTCAAGGGATCCTGGCAGAGGGGTGTCGTTCTCGAGTACAACGGCATGTTATGTCCTTTGGAATGGAGAACGACAAGTACATCGGCTTATTCGAGTCTATTATTTTGTTCTTGAGATTTTTTTTTGGAAGTGTTCATAACTCCCTCCCCTCTCTTTTTGTTTTGTGCAGACGTCTCCGCTCAGGAAACAGCTCTTCCACTTCGGTTCTTCGTAAATTTTACCGACCTCGTCACTATTTGGATATTTGTTGGCGACGACGAGTTCATCCGGGCTGCTCACATTCTTCTGAACTACATTCCCGGATATAAAAAGTTCTCACAGCTCCCCCAGCCTTTCGAGCCTTCGCAGTGGTCTGAACTCTTCGATCAGGCTGCGCAACAAGAGTTTGAGGAGAATTTGGAGGAAGACCGCGACCGGGCTACGGAGGTGGAAGTAGAGGATGTTGTTGAAGTTGAGGAGTTCAGGGCCAGGGAGGCTTTTGTTCCTTCGTATGCCGAAGTGGGGACTTTGGGGAGAGATTCGTGGCCTGACTTCCAAATTCTGCAGTCCCTAGACGAGGAGGACGCCCTCGAGGTAGCCATGTCGAACACGCCTCGCATAGATCTGGGGTTCTTGAGGCAGAGGCAGGCCCTCGCTGCCGAGAGGGGGCGTGGGCCAACCAGCGGGGCCCCATCTACAGGGACTAGTGCCACCCCACCTTCAAGAGCCGTTGGGTTGGGGTCAAGTGCGTGACCGAGATCCTCAGGTAGAGGAGGAGAAAAGGGTCAAACAAAGGCACGACGGCCTTGGCAAGGGATCCAGGGCCCCCTCCGCTCAACAGCAAAGCGAGAGAGGCTGTGGGTTACCTCCTCCTCCCCAGCAGCAACAGAAACAACAGAGGCAACAACAACAACAACAACAACAGTAGAGGCAGACTCCACTTCCCCCTTCGCAGACAGTGGAAGCCGCAGAGTGGAACCCTCGAGCCACTGATCACATGAACCGAGTGATCAGGGTTCCATTTTGCAGGACCCCCATGTTGCCAACGCAGTGGGTGAAACGCTGCACTTCGAGGCCGACATGGTGGCTCACAGGGGGCGATCAACGAATACGTTGTTTCGTTCTATCATTCAGAATTCTCTGGTGGTAAGTTTATCTTCGCTTCAGTCTTTTTTAGCCGTGTTACTTTTTATTGACAAACCCTTTCCTTTGCAGGCCACCCAATATATTTTCATAATCGCTACTCGGTATCATGTAGCTAGGATGGACCTCCAACGGGTTCAAGAGCAGAAAGAAGAGGCTGAGGGAGCCCTGGCCAGTGCCAAGGAGGATATAGCTGCCAGGGATTCCACTCTCGCGGGACAGGCTGCTCAGATTGAGCAACTCCTCAAGGATGGCGAATTGGCGAAGGTCGGCGCTAAAAAGCTAAGTGTTGCCTTAGCCGACGTTGAGAGGAGGATTATAGAGCAGACGCAGCGGCTCTCTGCGGTAGAGGAGAGGACCGTCGGTTCAGAGGAGAGCTGTCTCGCTCTGACCCAGGAGCTGGATAGGATCAGGGCTGAGGCAAAGAATAGGAAGTCCGAGGAACAACTCTGAGAAGTGTTCGCCGACGACGTGCTACATGCTCTTTAGGAAAATAGCAAGGAGTTTTTCAAGAAGAGATAGAACGAGGCGTTCTGGTCTGCTGGGATCTCTCCAGACTCCTCGCTTTTTCAGATGCACAACTATGTGCAATCGGTAGAGATGGAGCAGGCCCAGGCCGAGGCTGAGATTGCTGCCAACGGTGTGACTCCAACACCGATGCAAGTTTCGGTAGACTCGCCCGAGCCGGTAATTTTGGATCTATCCGACGAGGTTCTGCCGGACCTAGCCCCTGACCACAATATCCCTCAGACTCTCCCTGTT